TTTTTTTTTTTTTTGTGGTAAGATGGAGAGGTGTGTACAGGATTTAATAAATCAGTTCTTGTCATTTTTTGTTTGAGGTAGGTGCGTTAAGGTGTGAATTTCGCTTTGCTTTGTGAGTGGAATGATTGTTTGTGTAGTCCGTTTGCGGCTTCAACTAATGTTTCACCTGATTGGTATATTTGCTTTGGTAGAGTCTGTTCATGTATGGGTGAAGCTGTTCTGAATGTTTTCTTGTTACTGAGCTGCTCCTGTAGGTTGTTTTTTCTGGCTTCCAGCCATGCACCAATAGCGCTTGTAGTTTGTCTATTTTTTAGGAAGTTTGTGCATTGCAGTAATGTTGATGAATGAGTGCTGGTGACTACCTCTTGTCGGTTATGTGAAGAACTAGTACAGATGCCAGACTCGTGTTCTCTTGTAGAAGTTGCTGAAGGTTCTAGTGGATGTTGTTTCTCCTTTACTTGCTCATATTTTGTCTTCCCGAGGTCATCTATTACGGTTGCAATGTGTCTTATTCCGCCAATGTGGGTGAATATTGCATTTAAGTGTGGGCTACTGTATTCACGACAGGGAATAAGGGGGAAAGGGGTAGACTCTATTGGGATATTTTGGGGAAATAAACGGGCTCGTAGCCGAGCTGCACAATCCACGTAGAGACGCAGTAGGTCAATAATGGCTTCTAGAACTGTGCTCAGTTCAGTGTCTGCCACTGCTCGTACGATATTACTGCTTTCCCTGGTCTTTTCAAATGCCTCTGCCTGCTCTAGTAAGGAACGCAAGTGCTGCTTTTCTTCTGCGTTAAGTGCAACACGTTCTTCGAGTAGTCGCTCATTCGTCTCTTTTTCACGAATTATATGATCTTGTTCTCTGTTTTTTTCCTCAAGGTTATGAACTCTTTGAAGGAGCTCCTTTATATATGTATTTGAATCGTAACTACCTGTTTGATTCAAACTAGCGAACATGTTCCCTGTAGATGGAACACTTGCTGTTGTTGTTCTTGTGGTGTTGGTAGTTTTTACCGGAATGTCAGCTACATTTTCTGCAGCTTTTTCAGGTGATTGCAGTGTACTTAAGTGCACCTCAGTTGTTATGGTGCCACGGTCGACTGTAAGTTTTTGACGATGACGCGGCTTTTTAGCGTGCATCTCCTTTAGGAATACCGAAGTGCTGTTAGCATCACCATTGTTCTGTGCATCACCTCCCATCAGATATCTTAGATCCTGTAGGAGAGTGTCGTTCTGCATATTAAGTGCCTGAAGTTCCTGCTTCGCTAGCTGCAGCTGTTGTTCACTCACATCTCGCTGTCGCCGCAGCAACTGCTGTAGATTTTCTACGCCAGACTCGGCCGCAACACGTGCGTCACGCTCCAGTTCCAACGCGTTCATCAGTCGCTCGTTCTCTGCGGCAAACGCTGCGAGTTCTCCCCGAACACCGGCGAGGGCCCGCGCCTCAATCTCGTCCATCACATCACCTTCACGTTTGCGTGCGCGTGTATGTGTGGTGTGATGGCCGTGTTGTTGCTGACTGTTCACACCCGCCACTGCAAGTGCACGCCGTAACTGTGCCACTTCGCGTCTTAGTCCGCGGCATTTTGCCTCCAACAACGCTGACTGTTTCCGCTCTTTTTCTTCTTTTTCTTGTTCTTCTTGTTGTAATAGTTGTTGTTGTGCGATGACTTCAGCACCGTGTTCACGGCCCCGCAACGCTGCTTCCTGCACACGCGTGAACTCCCGCTCAATGTGCTCCTGCAGGTGCTGCTGTTGCTGTCGCACTTGTGCCTCCAAGAGGCCAAACTCATCCCGCCACTCGCGGTTCTGCGCTTCGAGGCGCGCCACATTTTGTGCGAGTGCGTCCCGCTCTTCCCGCAGTGCGGCATTCTCTCGCGCGAGTGTTGAGTTCTCGCGCTCTAGCCGCCGCGCCTCATTAAAGACGCGCTCCAGCTCTTCTGTCTTCTTCTCCAACTGCTGTACAGCGCGTAGATAACTCAGCGAGGATGGGGATGACTCCATCTACACAGCCCGGGATGTCTCAGGGGTGAATAACAACCCTAGTAGGGGCTCTCTTCTACTTGGGATAAAGTTCAATAAGATAAAGAAACAATAATAACAAAGAAGGTATTGCAATATGAAATGGGTAAAGGTCGTGGAAACACATACACAGAAAAAAAAAAAAAAAAAAAACACATAATACATATAATTACAGATAGATGCATACATCATAGCAGAATAAAAAAAAAGAGAGATAAAAATGGAAAAAGTGAATAAATAAGTATCAAAAACAAAACACGCATAGAAGCATAAAAACAAAGTCATGAAAATACAACGGGCATACCTCGTAATAGAAATATATAGTGCACCTACTACACCAAGAAAAAATGGTGGTAGCAAAAATACACAACAGTACAAGTTCTTTTTTTTTCAATATTATTTTTTTTTTCCAGATCTCAATACTGCAAAACCAAAAAGAAAGCAAACAAACAAACAAACAAAAAAAAAACAAGTCATGAGAAAAGATAAAAAGAACAATATTATCACCATATCGCATAATGTTCCTCCATCACTCCTGAAACATTTTCAAAGGAATATGACACTCCATTCACATTAATCGTACCATCAAATATACCCCAACTGTGGTCCAGATTTCCTCTTACAATACCATAATGGAAGTTACCGTCATGTGCGTCAACACGACGGAAGCGCAGGTGAACACCGTCACCGGTAATATTCCAAATAGTATTACCACGATCATGATCCTTTTCATCACTTTGGGGAGTAACATATATCACCTCCGGTAGGAAAACAACTGCTGTATCAATCAGCAAAGCTTTTCCAGAAACAAAGAATGTGTTCTCCACACTCTTCTTGTCAATATCATAGGTTCCTGCCGACAGGTGAAAGCCGTAACCATCAGGTGCCGTGGCAGAGGCCCAGTACCACCGTGTCTCTCGTCGAAGAAGTCCCCGTGTATAATCCATTGAAAGGAATCCCGCACCTCTCCACTTTTGTTCACCGAGTTGTAGTTCAAGTGGGGCTTGGAGTGGTGCAGCAGCCACTTTATTCACGAGTGCAGCACGACGTGGTCCGAGTGGGAAAACAAAACCAAGGAATTCTTCAGGAAGAGAAGCCGTGGCAAATACCTTGTACATCAGTTCTTGTTGTTGTTGATATCGCGTTGTTGTTTTATTCGCCATATATTGTGATACTGATCCGGCAACTTCAACATGCACACTGTCACCTGTGAAGGTAATAGCAGCGCGCTGGTTAATAAAGGGTGCCTTAAACTCCACCCGATGTCCAGCGGCATTTGGACCAAAGTTACCAACGGCGTTTGGAACCCATTTACCTCCAAAAAACGGTGCAAGCAACGGAACTACACTCTTCGACTTCCAACTCTCCCCTGACTCCGCATTGTAGAACTGTACGCTGAAGATTGAGACGTAGTTAAACTGAAGCACGGCTAACCCAACAAGCCAGGGACCGGCGGTGATTCCAATCCACACAAATTCCTTCTTCTGTGTATACTGCTGAACTATATTGAGTGGGTGCAATTGTACCGCATAGGAAGGTTTTAGCGTCCGTCCCCATACATAATGATTAGTTGTCGTATTGTACGAAGAAATGGCTTGCTGCAACGCGTGAGAGAAAAACTCACGGCGCACTGCACTTTCTTCTGCATATCGCGGGTCTTCCTTGTCCGTCCGCAGCCACTGCACCACACCAAAAGCAACAGCGGTGAGTAACACGCCAACACCGGTAATGAGTCCAAAGTATCCCATTCAAGTAAAAAGAAAAAAAAAATCACCTATGTGGCTAGCCTTCTTCCAATGCATTCACACCAGGTTTAACCAAAAAAAAAAAATATATATATATATATATTTCAACTCTTACTGAGAAAATCAAACACTTGAAATATTAATATATTATTTTTAACAATATGAATACTCATATATATGTATATATCAGAACACATGCCATTTCTTTTTTTCCTTCCTTCCTTGGTTATATATATTGTGTGTGTGTGTGTATGTTTTAGTCCTCCACCCAACCTTACAATTGGTACTAGAAACATCCAACCCCATGTACGACCCACACATAGAATGTATTTTGTTGCATTCTTTTGTATCTTTATTTTTCTCTTTTCGAATATATATATATATATATATTTCTTTTTTCCTTTCGTTTTTGTTTTTGGTACTTGAAAAAAAAAACAAAAAATAATAATTCAAAATCGTTTGTGCGCTTCATGTTTCTTAAAATAACTCGTATATTCCTGCTGTTTCACCACCTTACGGAATTTTCTCTCTGTCGCACTTGATTCTTCGTTAGGATTGTCCAAGTCTGGTCCTCGCATGGCGTCAACACCCTTTTCAATGACATGCTTTAGAAAAAGGTGCTGAATCATACGAGAGAGTGTGTTTGCCAACATTCGCGCGTTTCGTGTACCACAATTACTTACACCGAAACATCCTAAATCGTGATTGCAACTGTAGCGGAAAGATGACGCAGAGGGTAAATAGTCAATTCCCAATACACGCTGCGTCAATTGCAAACAACGGTCATTATTAAGCCATTCTACACCAAAATCATAGTGTGGATTATTTGCTTCTATACCTGCATCACCCAATGCTGTTCGTGCATGCCGTATGGCATCAAGAGAAAGTAAGAGTAACTTACCATAGTCTTCCACGGGGGCATGAAGATTTATTGAGGCGTTAAGAAGTGGAGGAGCAGAATTTTCAACAGAACCCACCTTTAGTGGGTGAAAGAAACCCTGGTGCTGTAGTGAAAGACCACTAGGCTGATAAAAAAGTTCATTAGGATCACGCCACAACTTTGGTGGTCCATAACCCGCTCCATGGCTCTGCGCTGGTTCAAACACTGTCTTACGTATAGATGCCTCAAAACTAACTTCCTTCAACTGCCGCTCAACAGCTGCTATTAGCAACGCAACAGAGAAATGGGAAACGCTACGGAAGTGCCACCCTAACTTCCCCCGTGGCAACTGTGATACCACCTTTACATGTGGTGAAGTACGAAGGTACTGTATAAAGTTCTCTCGTTGTTGTTGACCGGTGAGAGGTGTGGAGGAACCAGCGGCGAAGAAACGGTTAAGTGGTTCGTATACATACTCTTGGGTGGCAGCACAAATATTCCATGAAAAATGTGGCCGCATCCACTTCACCCCTGCATCCCTCAGCACCTGACGATCATCTATAACTCTTGTAAAGGCTAAAATACTGCGCGCCGTAATGGTCTCATCCAGTTTCTGCTGCAGCTCTGGTAAGTACTGCACTAGTGGAGTATGGAGATTGAAGAGACCTTTACCATGCAGCTCGCAAAGATATCCCGCCGTCACGGGTAGTGAGAGCACACCATATGTGAGTGGATCCTTCAGTTTCATGTGGTTTCCCTTATCGTCCATCTCACGTGGACGTGTGCCGTCGCGGTAGCCGCTGGCGAAACAGAATGGGCGGCCGCCGTAGAATAGACCGCCTTGATATCCCGGTGCCGCCCGCAGTCGCTGACTGTGTCCACTCATCATTAAGTGTGTAAGCTCAAGTACACTGCGCACAACAGGCGGAATATCATCCTGCATACTGCGCCGCATCTCCTCAGGCGTTACTGCAGCCCGCTGTTCACGCAAAATATCTTCGCGATCAAGCACCGGTGGAAATTCCATACCAATCCGACGCTCGGCGGAACTCTGTGCCGTCTTCTGCTGATGTTCTTGTGGTTTCTCTGTCTCCATTCTATCTTTTTGCAGTTCTTGGTTTTCAGTGTTCATAGATCTTATTGTTGTTTTTGTTCTTGTTCTTGATGTTGTTGCACCCCACAGTATGTTTTTATTCGGTTTTGCTGATCCCTATTATCTTCATTCACTACACACACTTTTCCCAGAAAGAAACGAGAACGAAAATAAAAAAAAGACACCATTATTAATGCACCCAATATAAAAATCACAGTATTTCAATTGAGTTACCATCATCAGATACCGCAGAAAAAAAAAGGGAGGCAATAATAACATATATATATATATATATATATATATATAATGAAAGACTGAAACTTCTCCCACCACCACAACCATCACCTCACACACACACACACAGAAAGAAAGAAACAGAATGGAAGAAAAATAATTTCAATTTATTCGAATGATGTATAAAACTTACGAGATAGACCTTACTATGCAACACGTTGTTGTGATACAAGCATCTCAAGAAGATCGTCTGCTGCATCCTGTGCAACGTTACTGCCACTGCCACGTACCTCTGCGAGAAACTGTTTAGTATTCCGCCAGTGTTGCTTAAGTTTGAGTAATGATGTCATAGGCTCACAATTTGGCCTCGTGAGCTTTTGTTTCTTTACAATTGTAATACGACCTTGCCGGCGCCGATCATCGATCCATTTCTTCGCTGAAATAGTGTTGTGAAATGCCACAGCTTCTGCAGCAATGGCTGGTGCGTAACCAAATTGCAGTCGGTCTGTTGGGCAACCCTTCCCATACTCATCCACTTCCACAGCAGAAGCATCAGCATCCCCACCAGAGGAATGAGAAGAAGAAAATGCATTAGCAAGAGCTGCACGCAAAGCCTCGTTTTTACTAGACTGCTGCTGTTTCTGTTGCTCTTGATGCTGTTGCTGTTGATCTTGTGATTTTTGCCATTTGGGGTGACTCTTAGCAGATGGTTTTCCTTTTTTTACATCACTTCGTTGTTTGTGGCCTTTAGTTGGTGTCACCTTCTCTCGTTTGGCTGTTGGCATCTTTGGCATGCTTGCTCTACTCCGCCCCCTTTTTCGGCAAAGAAAGGGGAAAAAAAGTATTGATAACGTAGAATTAAAATAGGTGTGTATAACAATCACAGATACATATATACACACGTACACGGAGGAAAAGAGAGAAAAAACGAAGAAAAAGAAAAAAGAAAAAAAGATCAATAGACCAATGGATGAGAGACAATGAAACAATAACAACAACAACAAAAAAAGTAAAAAGAAGAAAAAACCTTTACAAAGAAGGAAAAAAAGGGTCCAGTAACACTTAAAAAAAAAAAAAAAAACAGGTAATATGATACTGCCAAAAATCGGATATCATCCTTCACTCCTTTTCTTCACTTAAACTCTTGCGTGGTCGTTTTTGGCGTGACACACTTTTGTGTTTCCGAGACTTTCGTCTTTTGGTTTCATCATCACCTTCATCATCTGTATCGCTTTCATTCTCTTCCCCTTCCTCTTCATCATCATCATCATTGTCTTCATCACCACTGCCACTATTCTGACTGTGGTTTCGATCAACTCCTTTATGAGTCTCACGTCGAAGTGTTTTCATAGCTTTATGAATAAGTTTCATGATTTTCCTCGTTTTCACCTCCACAGCTTGCGCATCTGTGTATTTTGGCAACTGCTGCGTGAGCCACTCTTTCCCATGATCGAGAAATGCAACACGTCTCTGCAGTTTCTCTGACAAAGGAGATGTTATTTCGGCAAGTGCCTTTTCGAGTTCCTCAAATCCACGTGAAAGTTGTTGTGTAGCGTCCATAATAGCAACGGCTACTGCATCCCGTGCGGAGAACTTCTGTGCTACTTCAATCATTTTTTGCACAGCTTCCTCACTGAGCCGCTCTTCATTGGCGACAATGAGTGTTTTCGTGACGTGTGCGAGTTCCTCTGTTGCGGTGATGGTGAGAATACCGTCTGCATCCACGTCGAAGGTGACATTGATGGTGGGTTCTCCCTTCTTTGCACGAGTGATGCCGTCAAGGACGAATGCGCCAATCTCGTGATTGTGCCGTGTGAGTGGCCGCTCGCCCTCAAAGACCCGCACCTCCACTTCCTCTTGATTGTCCTCCACCGTGCTGTACTCCTTCGACGCGCGGTAGGGGATGGTGGTGTTGCGGCGGATGATCACATCAAACTTCCCGTCATCCACCTCAACACCAATGGAGAGCGGCACAACGTCCATCAACACAACACCCGCCGTGCGGGCCGACGGCACATGTCTATTCTCCTCATCGGCATTCACCTCATCTCCACTACAGTGTTGGGCGGCGACAATATCGGCCTGCACGGCGGCGCCAATAGCAACTGCCTCGTCAGGATGTACCGCACCGGAGAGACGCGAGGAGGGAAACATTGACTGCAGACGCTCTCGCAATACCGGAATGCGGGAACTACCGCCAACAAGAAGAACATCGTCCACATCAGCAGGTGTCATCTGCGCATCTTTCATCGCCCGACGTACAACTTCCATACAACGGGCAAACACCTTCCCGCACAACTCCTCCAGTTTGGCGCGAGAAATATGAAGAGTATATTCTTCACCATCTGGTAATACACCATCTAGCACGAACTCCTCCGAAGGGGCATGCGAGAGAACACGCTTTACCTGTTCACATCGTGCTAATAACTTGGCCAATAATTTGGGTTGTTTTTCCGCATCTACACCATGGCGACGTTTCAGGTCGTCTACCACATATTGCAGTAAGGCCCCATCCACATCCTGTCCTCCAAGGTGTGTGTCACCCGCCGTCGCCCGTACTGCAAAGGAACCACCATCTATAGTAATGATAGACACATCAAATGTACCTCCCCCAAAGTCAAATACTAACACGTTCACAGGGCGATCACTACCTTGGGCACCAGCACCAGAGCCAATTCCAAGACCATAGCACAGCGCAGCAGCAGTTGGTTCATTCACAATACGGAGTACCTCAAGACCGGCGATACGGGCAGCAGCCTTCGTACGTTCTCGCTGCGCATCATTAAAATATGCGGGAACTGTAATGACTGCACGTCGCACGTGTTTACCAAGAAATCGTTCTGCGCACATTTTAAGGTATGAAAGTACACGAGCAGAAATCTGTTCTGGTTCTAGTCGTATTACTTCCCCATTATGCTCAACAGTGATAAGCACACTGTCCCTCTCCCCCGCTTCGATAGAGAATGGCCAGCGTTGTGCGTCCTCTTGGATGCACTTCTCACTAAACTTGCGGCCAATCATACGCTTAGCGTCGTATACAACCCCCCGCACTCCGCGTGCTGCCAAATGTTTGGCACTATCCCCAACGAGCACATCGCCGTTGTGAAATGCGACACAGGACGGTGTGGTACGGTTGCCTTGGTCGTTCGGAATGACCTCCACTGCGTCATTGCGGAATACCGCCACACATGAGTACGTTGTACCGAGATCAATACCAATAGCCCCGTTGAACTCCTCCATTCACGCTCTTCAATGGTGTGTTTGTTTTTTTTTTTTTTATTTCTGTGTTACCTTCCTTTTTTTTTATTTATTTCTTTTTTAGTTCTCGGCTTAGATTGGTTTTATTATTCATTATTTATGATGTGCATTTTACATTTGTTTTCGCATGTCACAATAGTTGAGAAACATGAAACGAAATAAAGGCAAGGAATTCAATTGAGAATAATACAAAAGAAGAACACGAAGGAAAAAGGAATAGAAAAAAAAAAAAAAAAAAAAAAAACAACAACCAATTCTTATGAAAGAAAGATTATTAAAAACTTTCCAGAAATTAATGTCAAACGAAAAAAAAAGAAAAAAAAAAAGGTACACACACACAACACAGATATATATATGAGAAACCGTATAGAACCAAAAAAAACAGCAGACTCACACCACCACCGCCACTACCACTACTCCACGTGTTCAAGAAAAGCAAGGATAAAAAAAAAAAAACATAATGTAAATTTCTTCAGGCAGTTGATAACTTTTTTATTTGTTTTCCTTTCATACATTCAAATATACATCAGAATAATAAACCACCACGTAGATACAAGCGTCTCTGTATTTCTTCCATATATTCCACCCGAGCACGGGCACAAGTCTCTGCGGCAATGAGCTCATTGATCTTACTTCCCATATGTGCCAGGCGTTGAAGCAGCAACTCTGTTAAATGTCTGTCAAAGTAACGGGCCTCGCTTGCAAAGCTCAAGTGTCCTCGAAGAAATCGCGGCAGAAGGGCCTCATCTCTATACATAACACAACCACGCTCTAACAGTGCGGCAAAGCTTTTATAGAACTCTTCTTGAATGTGGCGCCGCCCCTCCTCCTCTGCAGTCATCAGCAGCCGAAGTAAGGGATGAGGAGAAATACAACTATCGACACCTTCACAAAGCACCAACAATTCCTGATGCTCTTCCTGCATGATGGTAGATCGAAAACAAACGTGAAGTGAGAGAAGAAACTCCGCACGACCTCGTCGTTCCTCTAAAGAAAGATGTTTGCGAGTAATATTTTCACGCGAAACCATCCGTTCCACTGGAGACATAGATGGTAATATCAAGTTAGGAAGAGTTGATTTTTTCATTGACGCCACCTTTTCCTTGTTAGTAACCTCTTCGGTAGTAGTAGTAGTAGTAGTAATGGCGGTACTTCTCGCCAGAGCAAGAAGAAGTTCTGCACGTTCCTCCCACTGCAACTGTAATTCCCCAAACTCGTTCATTATATTCTCTCGTTCTGAAGCTTCTTGTATACAGAGGTGATGAACTGATATGGCAATAAACGTCTTGGTATGTCGCAGGGCCTCACGTTCTTGTTTTTCTTGATCCTCAATCCGTTCTCGACCATTACGCACAACAGAAAATAAGATATGCATCATTTTATATAATTCCTTGTTAGCCTGTAGAAACCGTGCTACAATTGCCTTATATTCTCTTTCCATTGGTTCCTCTGCCTTTTCATCAAACCAAGCAGAGAACAATTCCACGGCTGTATTCACATGAGTTTCTGCAGAACTAAACTCTTGGGTGAATTTCCACACGGATTGTCTCTCTTCCTCCCATTGTAACTCTAAGAGGTGTACCATCTCTTCTGCTGTTTTCTTTAATTGTGCTTCAGGTGTTGGAATCCTTTCCCGTTTACGACGCATACGCCCAAGTGTAGAGTGGAAAAACCTTTGAATAATACAAGAAACACTATCAAGAGATACAAATTTTCTTCCCATACCATTTTTGAATGCCATCTTCCAGAGTAATGTACCTCCAAATGATTCCTTAAATTTAATGCGAAAACGAAGAAGATTGTCCCAACGCCATTCATTCTCTGTCATGCGAATAAATTCATTATGCTCTTCCTCCACAAGAAGCAAACGTTGTCGTTCCTCTTCGCAAAGAACATACCACCTTCCCTCCACTGCTGACATGCATCTTGACATGGAAGCCTCCGCCTCTACTAAGACAAGGGCACGATTATCTTGTTCTCCAGTCTGTAACATATTACGGCACATTTCTTCTTCCTGTTCAATAAGGAGAACAGCGGTGTAAAGAGATCGCCAGGCCCATGGACCCTGATTTAAAGCCGTATGATACAATTGAAGAATGTTAGCTTCACCTTCTTCACGAGCTTGTAATGCTTCTCTTTCTTGTGTTTCTTCCTTTTCACACATATTTATTTTCTGTATGAGTGAGGTAGAACCTTCAATCCATCGAAGTAAACGCCAACGAGGATATGGCTGTACTGGTTGCTTTCTTACATACATACGGTATGGCACACGAAGAGGTGCGACTACAGGTGGTATGGGAGTTGTACCATCATCTGTAGCAAAGGTGTAGGAGCGGAGTCGCTGCATTTCCATTTCTTGTAAATTGGATGTACGGTTCATTAAAGTATAAACAAAGTAATCAAATAAATACTGGTATGACATCTCTGCAGCTCGTTCAAGAGCCTTCTTCTTGTTCTCCAGTTCCTCTGGTGAAAGAGTAGTGCTAGTAGAATGCAAGTTTCGTTGCATACGCTGTATTACATTACGAAATTCACTCGCTTTCATTTGATGACGTTTTCGAGTTACACATTTTCTTAACTCTCGCATTTTACGTTCTCCCCATGGGGTAACACCCAACATGCGCCACCAACGCTGAATTTTAAGCACTGCAGATAAACGTGCCTGACAGGATCCATAGTAACACAACTCTTCCAAGAAATTTCTCGCGTGTGGTTCTTCTGCAAACATTATCTGTGCTCTATCATGTTGCCAGACAAGCTGTAAACGCTCCAGGCGCTCATCACAAATAATACAGTAACGCATTTTTTGTTCCTCTTCACAGATAGTATAGTCCATAAGAAGATCTGTTCTTCCTCGGTAACCGCCAGAACCAATATTGCGTCGAGTGAAAATTTCGCTTGTTGGTCCAAATGGTTTAGTCGGACGAAATGCTGATTGGGCAATGCGGCATTCCCAGTCACGTACACCCTTTAAGTCTTCGTAAATACACTCCGCGGAAGCCGCCTCACGAACTGCACGTCGTCGTTTCTCCTCTAGTAAAAATAAATCAACCAATGACATTATATGTTCTCTTGCTCCTTTTTCTTGTTCGGCAATGTGAATACGCGCAGCTGTCTCAAGATGCAGTATATAACCCCGTGACTTGTAGTTGGATACACCTTGCATATATCGCCATCGCTGAAGTGCCAATGCCTTCGCCTCCGCAGCGGCTGTTGTTCGTTCCACGCGAGCCTTTTCTTCCTGATATTGCCACAACATCCTGTAGCGTTTCTCATGCTCGCGTCCACAGATAACAGTACGGATTCTACGTTCCAAGGATTCCAGGTGTTCACGCTCCGCTGCGGCTTCCAGTGCTGCGGCTTTGCATTGTAAGCGTTTTAATTCTTGTCGACGAGTGGTACGATCAACGCACGGCAATACAGTATTCAATTCGGTAGTGAGAAGGTCTGCTGGTGGTGACGGTACTTGCACCTGTGAAGTCCACAACTGCTCTTTGCCGGACTTTTTGAGAGATGGCAAGACAAATCCCTTCATTGTCTTATTACCCCCTTTATCGAAGGTTATTTGAAAAGTAAGAAAAAGAAAAAAGAAAAAAAAAAAAAAAAACACAGAAAGAAGAAAAAAGAAGAAAAGAAAAGAAGTAGCTGTATTAATTAAAATATGAGTTTGACAAGGGCACTTTCACTCAACCATTATAAACAAAAAGGTCTTAGAAAGCGTGAAGAAACAAAAAAAAAAAAGAAAGAAAAGATTCAGAGTGATCTTGGATCGAATATCATTTCTTTTTTTTTTCTTGAAAGGGTGGGGTAGAGTTTACTTTTCTTCTATTTTCTTTTCTTTTTTTTTTTTTTTTTACCCCCATTCTTACTACTACAGAAGACCTTCCAGCGATGACTGCCAAAGTCGATCTTCACGTCTTGGAAGAAGACGCACAGCATTAGAGGGATGAATCGTCCTTTGTCGTGTTGATGTTACCTGCTGTAAATGATTGTAGCATCTCATAATATCACTATCATCATCAACATCAGCTGCATTACTATCGGTGATATTGTCGCTGTTGATATTACCAGGACTCATATATTCTGTGATTGGATATGTTTGCCCGGTATAGACAAAGCCACCCGTAGTAGCATCTGCCGCACCACGACTATCACTCCTACTGGTGGTACTAGCGATGGGAGGTGTTGTCTGGTCAACAAAGATCACATCATCACTATTATCATCAGAACCACTCTCCTCCGCATTACTACCCTCTACTGAGGAAACAACCATTACTTGTAATGCAGCTGATGATTTTCTCTCTTTTTCTTTTTCTTCTTCTTCATCCACATCTACAACCGGTGCTGAACGTGGACGTCTGCAATCATTTAGCGTGTCGCATTTCCCTTCACCATCACTGGACTCTATACCCTCCTTTATTCTATCACCAGCTAATCTTTTAGGTGTTGGCTCCTTTTGTGCATGATAGCGTGATTTCAAGGAACTCAACTTTTTTCGTCTTCGTTCAGTCAATCGTCGCTGTTCACGTACTTCACGTTCTAATCGTTCTAATGTAGAAGATGATTGTGTTATGTATAATTCTAGCTCTGTGGCTGTCATGCCATCTACACAAAGTTCATCTTCAGATACTCTTGATCCACTCACTAAGGGTAATGGATTTGGAAGAATCTTCGACAAGGAATCAACCTCTGCTTGCACTTCTGAAAGTCTCTCATGCAGTAAGGCACAAGTGCGTGTTAACTGTGTCACATTTTTTCGTTGTTCATAAAGTGCACGAAGATGAGCAATATTAGTCTTCTGTTTATGATGTACTTTCCCATATTGTAAAGCAACACCACTGTTATTGTCATTGGTCGGTCTATGCATATCTCCTATGCTGGGGAATAATGGAATAAGTTTCTGAATAGGGGAATGACATGCCGGACACGCAACAATACGACTATGCTTATCGCTGTGAATTGTATTACTCTTCTCATCCTTACTGTTACTATTATTACTGGAGGTAGTAGATGTGATGTTTGCATTTTCAAAAGTAGCATCAACATCACTACTACTACTCTGCAAAAAGGGAGTCGTTGTCACAATTCCATTTAAATCCGCTCCGTCAATAAGTTGGTGTAGTTTTCTTCGTTTGCGAATATAGTCCACACACCCCACGTGAAGAAGATGTTGACAAGGCACGAGAAGTACAGCCCGCAGTGCCCCATCATCTGCAATTGGAATGGCACATTCACAGCACTCCAGAGGTACACCGTACATTCTCTTCACCCCACACAACGTCCATAATCAGAAATCACATACAAATATAAAGTACAGAAGAAAAAAAAGGAGGAAAAAGAAAAGTTTCTCAAAAACAAGAAAAAAAAGGGCCACAAGCATATGAGGAGGAAAGTAATGCAAGAAACTATTTATATATTTTTTTCTCCAGAGGATTATGGAGCCTACCCTCATTTCATGCCGAAAAAGCAAACAAAAGAAGAAAAAAAAAGAGTGATATTTTCCCTTCTCCTCCAATTCTTAAAACTTCATGCCTTTCTTCAAGAATACAACCGTGGTCCAGGCAAGGAAATTCAAAAAAAAAAAAAAAAAAGGAGAATAGAAGAAAAACCGATACCACATGGTATATACCTGAGCGCATACTCGCCCACACACCCTCTTTCTTTCTTTCTTTCTTTCTTTCTTATACTCTACATCAAACTTTACGTGGCAGTGGGTAGCACACGACGCTTTGGCTTCGGTAGTGGTGGCATTCTTGTAGTATTTACCACTGTGAAATATTTGAATTTTGGCGCTCGGAGTGTCATTCGTTCAAGCAATTCAGCCGCCATTTGTGGGCACTGATCCACATTCGACAGTGTAAGTGCCTGTAGAGATGGAAACATCACACGCATATCCATCTCATCATTGGATTGCACAATTGATTTCTTTCCGTTCTTGCGAGTCTTAGCATCTCTTGGGGATTTTATCTGTGACCGCTTGAACTCATCAAGGATGTCTACATTGGAGAGATTTAGTGTGAGTTCTTGCAAATCGGGGAATGGTTGGTTGGGTAACAGCAGTTTGAGAAGTGCATCACGCTCCAGTGCACACCACAGCTTTACCCGCCATTGTCGCTGCGGGTTGCGTAACATCTCAAAAAACTCATCCTGCAAGATTGCAGGTTTTGGCGTTAAACCCGCAGCGATTGCCTGATCTCGACGCGACCCCACAACAAGTTGTGTTAATGCGGAAAGACGTTGCCACCACCCGGGTGACCACTGCGAGAAGAGTTCTACACCGATTTTTAATGTCTGTAACTTTGGGGCTACAAGATAAAGATCACTGAAAAAGTACCGCAATAAATTGGGATTGGAATGACAGTCCCACTGAACACCCCGAAGATCAAGAAATGTTAAAGAGGGTAGTGACTTCACAAGGGAAGGAAAAAGGTGCGGGCTACAGAAAGGAAGCACAACATTTATCGGTAATGAAGAGGCATACTTTGCATCAACAAGGCGTAACTGCTGTACAAACTGACCTCGCTTGTATGGGGCGAAAAAAGCGCAAAGAGAGTCCGCTACACGGTCCTGCGAGAGACTCTCCAGTGGGATCATATCTGGTGCGATAACGGCAACCGGTGGAGTAAGCCCAATCACAATGCGTCGTAGACGACGACAGACGGAGCCAAAATACGCCAGTTCACGTGAACGTTCGCCAAGGAATAGACAGATATTTCGTAGTGTATCGTCCTCTAAGAGAGCAATTTCATCACGCAAGACAGGCACCATCTGCAGAACCCGCAGAGCCTCTCGCGTCGCAGCATGGGGATCAGGTCTCAAATTATCCTGTATCATATCTTCTAGGTTTTTGTAGCGTACAATCGGTTTTGTGCGATGTGATAACAACACATTATCACTATATTTACTGTTTATTAGAGCAGTTTCCGTCAGTGCGGCGTCAATCTCTGAAAGAGCAGCAACTGCACGGTGTCGCGTACGCCGAGATGTGCCGCCATCTACTGCTGCTGCCATTATACTCTAATGGAGAAAAACTCTATATTCTGTTTATCTATTTTCTTCAAGATTTACCTTCCTTTTGTATTTCCTCTTTAACAGAAATAGTACACACAATTGTACTCCCTCTTCCACCACCTTCTTAACAAATATATGTAAAGGCGGTAACGAGAGAACAAACAAAAGCAGTAAAAAAGTAAAAAAAAAAAAAAAAAAAAAAACAGAGAGAGAGAGAGAGAGAGGGAGGATCAATCTCGAATAAGATTCCCACTTGGGTCAAACCTCGCAAACAAATAAATACAAACAAACGAACAAATAATTTATGAAGTTACAAATAATTACAACAATAGCGTATTCTGACAATGCACGGGAAAGGGAAGTATTAAATATCAAATTCACTATAACACCAGATAACTCACCTGGCAGCACTTATACGAAGTGGCAGATTCTAGAGTCCCTTCAACTCCAGAGCCCTCTACGTAGTGGGACTAGGAGTAGGTGGGACGGCAGAGAAAAAAAAAAAAAAAAAACAGATCTTAAATCCTTTTTGAAAAACTGAGATGGTGGTTTTCTCCAGCCATCAAGAAAACAAAAAAAAAAATGAAAAAGACAATGAAGCACAATCCCAACCTTAAATTACTAGAGCAAAAACAGTTGCATATTCTTCTCACAAATTCCTACAAAAAAATAAAATAAACCAAAAGCACAAACTCCACCCCCTAAAAAAAAAAAATAATAATAATAATAATAATAATAATAATAATAATAATAATAATAAAATACACATACCCTCTAGTAAATCTTTTTATTGCATACTTTGCATTTCCCTATTTCTCAGTTTTTACTTTTCTTTCCCCCATTCCCATTTTCTTTTTTTCTTTTTTTTGGGGGTGGTGGGTTCAAGAACTGGCTGCTTCTTTTCGCTCATCCTCCAGTTCAGCCGTTGTGGCTTTAATACGCTCCGCCACCGCTGGGGAGATCTTGATGTCCTTAACAATATGCCATTCCCCATCACGACAGGTGACTGGGAAGGAAAATATAAGGCCCCCGGGTACACCGTATGGGTTGTCATCTGAGTACACTGCCATGGAGACATGTGTACCCTCCGGTGTACCGAGTAGCCAATCGTGCACATGATCGCAAGCAGCTTTGGCTGTACCAAGGCCTGACGAGAGACCCCGTAATTTCAAGACTACAAACCCACGTTCTCGCACAGTTGTTATGAACTCTCCATCAAGAAATGCATCATTCTTAATAACCTCTCGCGCGGGTACACCTTTAACAGTGGCGGCATTTACATCTGGCACCTGCGTACTGCTGTGGTTTCCCCAGATGATACAGTTCTTCACATCCTCCACGCGGACCTTTGCACGTTCCGCCAGAAGTGCTCTGGCGCGGTTGTGGTCAAGGCGTGTGAGGGCTGTAACATTTTTCGCTTTGATTTTACCGCCTGCGGCCTGAAGTAGAATAAGGGCGCCGGTGTTAACTGGGTTACAAACAACACAGACATGGCAATCGGGGGATGCAACCTCGCCCAGTACACGTCCTTGTTCGGTAAATATCTTTGCATTCGCGCGCAGGAGATCCCTACGCACCTGTCCAGGTTTGAGTGGGACTGACGCGAGGAAGATAGCGACATCGGCACCTTCAAATGCGACTTTCGGTTCGTGCGTGATGACGATATCATCCAGCAGCGGGTAGGCACAGTCAATAAGTTCCGCGCGTACACCCTGGAGTGCATTCATTGCCGGTTCAATGTCAAGCAGACGGAGTTGCACATGCTGTGTTGGTCCAAGCATACGGCCTGAGGCAATGAGTGGAAGCAGCGAGTAACCAATCTGACCAGCAGCACCCGTTACTGCCACACGTACAGACGGAGGAAGTTTCGGCATGTTTATTGCTCTTTCTTTTTGTATTTGCTTGTGTATTTATGTATTTGTTTGTAATACTTTTGTGTAGTAGAAAAACTCTTATTGTAATAGAGGAATAAGGAATAAGGAACAGTAGTAGTAGCAATAAGTAAGGAAGAAGAAGGTAAACAGAAGATGTATCCATTAGTGAAGTCATATAAAAGAGTATCTGGGGGAAAAGGAATTCTTCTCATAGCAGACAGATGCAAGTATCACAGACTTTGCATGAAAGGGAGAAGATCCCTCCAACAACAAACACACACACACCATTCTTTTTTCGTTTTTCACCTCTGCCGAAGTGGGTGAACCACGAATACGCGGTCAAATAGAAGAAGGGTTGACCAGCTGAAGTGCAGTCAACACAGTGTCCACGTTAGAGGAAGCACTTATCAAAAAGGTTCGTTCAATCTCGTAAACGTGATCACACGCGTCGAAGACGATTTCGTCGTGAAAAGAGACTACCACATCTTCTTTATCGTCTGTGAACACCGTACGCACTCCCACGCTACAAGGACTACGAGCGGCACACCACGTTTGAGGTTCGCCTGCATATTTCCACTCTTTTATCGCGGATGCATTCTGCGCCGCCAAGTTAACGGCCACATTGGGTGCCGCTGTAATACGCAGAAGTGTGCCTTGTCCATGACGAAGCGTCAGCGTGCAATACGGCGCCAAATGTTTCTCTATAATTGTCGCGGCGTCTTCCTTGGCAAGTAGCGCCGCAACCTGACGAAGTACCTTCACATCTGTGGCCGCCCGCACAGTGTGGAGCAAATCGCGGGCCTTCAGTACGAGCAGACTTTCACTGTTCTGCGACTGCAGAGAGTCGCATGTGCGTTCAAGCACACGGCAACGTTCTTCGCGTGAGATGCCCTGAAGATTTTCTACCCACTGAAGTACCAACTCATCAAATGTGGCCCCGTCCATTACTGGACATAGCACGTCAACGAAGAAAAAAAAAAAAAAAAAAAAGAACGATTATAAGCAAAATGGAAAAAAGAATAAACCATAGACACCAATTTCCTCAAACACAGACACATACAAAATAAAAAAAAAAACTACCAACGAGGTAACGGAAGAAAAAGATTATGAAAGTAAAAATAAAAACGAAAGGCAATACAAACTCACAATAAATATCAATAAGATAAAGAGAGAATATCACTCTGTGTTCCCGCTTACGCCTTAGCTGTCTTGGACGCCTTCGTCTTGCGGGCCGCACGAGCCTTCTCAATGCGCTTCTTAGCAGCAGGCTTGCTGTCAACCTTCTTGGCGTTCTTCAACAGCTTCTTGAGTGCCACCTTGTGCCATGAGACGGGAGCCTTCTTGTCGTTCTCGTCAAAGACCTTGCGAGTCCAGTAGGCGCGTGAGCGCTTGGCAACACGGAGTTGATAGCGTTCAAAGTCAGTGGATGTTGCCATAGCCTTCTTCGCGGCGATGCGTGTGGCCGCCTTTGTGGCGGCGTACTTCTCGAGTGTCTTCTTCTCCGCGAGGGCGGCTGCGAGGGCCTTTGTGCTGCAGTTGCGCGACACGGCAACGGTGAACTTGAGTGGCTCAACGTTCTTGAGGTTCTGCACGTGGCGCCACATCTTCTCATCGCTGGGGTTCTCCACAAGCACGCGGTTGGCGTCAATGATGTCAACAATCACACCAACACGGTCCTGACGGGGGCCGCGCATAATACGCACCAAACGGCCAGCACGAATGTAGTTTGCGTTCACCATGATTATCCTGCTCTTGTTTGCTGCCTAATGAAGAAAATAATAATTTGTGTTTTGTAAATAAATAAAATATCGAGAAAAGAAAAAGGGAAGAAAAAAAAAAAAAAAAAAAAA